ATGGCATGTGGGACACACACCTCCCAAAGCACTCCCAACTCACCCCAACGCGCTATCCCTATTTAACCAAGGAGCAACAGCATATGCTCTTTTTGCTGGAACAATCCTCGTCCGACTCACTCTGTCGCACAGACTAGGCCAAGAAGCTGAAAATAGAAGAGCGCACTGCAAGAGGGAATCGCCAAAGGAAAACTGGAACTGTGCTGGAGTGAACCTTGAACCCGTGGGACCTCCACCATCGGTCCTCAAAGCCATCTCGTGAGATGCCATCGGCCCAGTTGCTGCCGCTGGGCACCCATTCGAAATAGAGATAGCATCGCAAATGGAACAGGAGAATGTGAACGGTCTGCGCCATGTGGTCAAGTTCTGGGCTGTCACTCCTGCCCCGGACCAGCGCCATCAAGGCTGCGATATTGTCCACATACCACACCCCGGAAGAACCCTGAAACTGACTCGGGAAGGTAAGGAGTCCTTGCAGCACCATGAGCAGCTCCAACTGAGCTATCTTCGTCTCTTGCTCGTCCCAGAGATGGAACACTGCATCATCAACAGGGACGACTGCGCCTAGCCGCTCTTTCTTGGGAGTAACCACAAGAAACCCTCCGGATCCAATCCGGCATGCATCCTGGGCAGCGTCACTAGCTGCCAACACTCTGCTACCCAACTGGGGAAGGACGCGAACAAGACGCTGAGGCCGCATGTCAAGCACAGCTCGGATGGTGTCAAAGGCTGAACGCAGCTCGTCAGTGAGGCGAGCATGGCCGCGAGAAGCATACTGCCGGTCCTTTATAGCAGTGAGGCCTGCACGGGCTACCCGCCCAAACACACCTTGGTCGAGAAAGGTAACACAGCCGTACAGCTTACTAGCTTGCCCTGGCTTAAGGGTGTCTGTTTCTTGGGCTTCTCGGATGATGTCTCCGATTTTTTCAACCAAGCGCTCACGCACCCAGACCCGGACGGTGCCCTGCTGCAGTTGAGAAAAATCATGCATGAGCCCGAGAAAATCTCCGGCGGCTGCCGGTTCTTGCCGCTTTTCGGTCGAAAAGGGGAAACCGAACAACTCAAACAGCTCTTCCACGTACAGCTGCGTCTCTGTAGCTAGGCTGCTCCAGTCCTGCATTGTCAGATCGTCAAAATACATTGAAACTAAGGCACGGAGCAGTCTCCTACACACACATTGCAGGAACATCGGAAGCCTGTTGAAAGCGGAAACTGCAAGCGGCAACCCGAACAGCATACCCTTATACCGCCTAAAACGC